ACTTATCCAATACATTTATTTCACATCCGGAATCCCATCCTGCCCACACCGTAACAGTAGAAGAACTCCTTACATCACCAATCCCACTTTCCTTGCCCCCAAAAGCTATTCATCCTTCCGAAGTGAAATATCAATCAAAAAACTAATCCCCCCTAAAGCTCCTGGATATGATCTCCTTACCCCTCAAATCCTTCGACAACTTCCATCCAAAGCAGTCATATTCCTGCAGTCAGAACAGAATTTTACAATATCTACTCCGTTAAAGCCGGTGTTCCCCAAGGCAGCGTCTTGGGTCCCGTGCTTTACATCCTCTTTACTGCTGACATCCCTGTTCATCCCGATACTTTCCTTGCAACATTCGCTGACGACACCGCAATCTTATCATCCAACTCTGATCCCGAAATAGCATCTTGGCTTTCATTTAGACCGAAGACTGACGTGGAACCCGCATACTAGACTCAAAACACAAGAACTCAACCGACGATACGGCCAACTATACCGACTACTAAGCAGAAAATCTAAACTTTCCATTGAAAACAAGTTACTGATCTACAAGACAATACTGAAACCTATTTGGACTTACGGACTAGAACTGTGGGGATCAGCAAAATTTTCTAACATCAAGCGCATCCAATCCTTCCATTCAAAAGTCCTTCGAACAATAGTCGATGCTCCTTTCTATGTAACCAACAAAACCCTACATCATGACCTCAACATCCCATTTGTCCTAGACCTTATCCCCGAAAAATTCTCCAAATTTCACCAGAACCTTACGTACCACCCAAATTCTCTTGCACAATCCCTATCAAGCACCTCCCATCCCTATAACCCTCCAAGAAGGTTGAAACGGCAATGGCCTCGCGACCTTTTGTAGATTGTATAAATTGGAGTTCTGGCAATGGCCAGATTCTTCACTGAAGATATGAGTGTATGCAAAATTTTCTAACATCAAGCGCATCCAATCCTTCCATTCAAAAGTCCTTCGAACAATAGTCGATGCTCCTTTCTATGTAACCAACAAAACCCTACATCATGACCTCAACATCCCATTTGTCCTAGACCTTATCCCCGAAAAATTCTCCAAATTTCACAAGAACCTTACGTACCACCCAAATTCTCTTGCACAATCCCTATCAAGCACCTCCCATCCCTATAACCTTCCAAGAAGGTTGAAACGGCAATGGCCTCGCGACCTTTTGTAGATTGTATAAATTGGAGTTCTGGCAATGGCCAGATTCTTCACTCAAGACATGAGTGTATGCGGCTAAAGTGCTCTCCAATCTCCAAGACCAATCTCCGCTGGCTTTAGTACCAGTGACGCGGTTGGGAGAGTAGCGCAGGGTTCTCCTGGAGTTCCCTCGCCTGATTGTATATAGGTATGCATGTGTTTTTTTTATTAGTTTTAATTTTCTTATTTTTTAGGTTATTTTATTTTATTATCTATTGTATATACTTTTGATTATTATTTTGTTCTATTTATTTTATTTTTTGTACATATAGTGTGCATGTCATCCTACCTCACTATAACCAATGTCCAAGAGACAGGTTGTTATAATACTCAATAAAGAAAAAAATAAAATAAAAATTAACAGAGAATCTATAATTGTTGTTAATTTGTCTATTTGTGCATTTTGGGAAGAATTTGTAGAATTTAATACTCGGGAATTGGTTTCCCAAGAGTCCGAGACTGTATGGGTTATCGCATAAACCTTCTTTTTCGCTATTATATGCAGAACTCGTTCTGTAACATTTACTGTTTGAATCTGATTTTCTTTTAAAACATATGGGCAGGAGCGAGACCCCGCTGGATGTGACCATAAGCAGTTGATACATTTAATATCGCTGCTGCAATTATTTTCATGTTTGGGATTACTTCATTCACAGGTATGCATGTGTTTTTTTTATTAGTTTTAATTTTCTTATTTTTTAGGTTATTTTATTTTATTATCTATTGTATATACTTTTGATTATTATTTTGTTTTATTTTTTTGTACATATCGTGTGAATGTCATCCTACTTCACTATAAACAATGTCCAAGAGACAGATTGTTATAATACTCAATAAAGAAATAATAAAAATTTCTTTCTTTTTTTTTTTCTTTTCTTCTCTTATGATATGCGGCATTGTCAACAAGTGATGTCCATTAAGGTGCCCACTAAGGACTCGGTCAGACGGCGTTAGTACCCCTCGTGATTCACCAGTCAAACAAAGAACTCGTCGCTGCCTGCGGGAAATCGCTCCATAGCCACAGTGAAAACTTCAGATCCAGAACCTCAGGCTCAACCAGGTACTTCTTCGCAAGAAATGGTTGAAGAATCTCCTTTCTTTACTCTAAACCCGTTCCAACTGCTTCATAAAGACAGAGAAGTAATGAATTCAGCAGCAATATCCAGGGAACCAATACCTCTTCCGATATTTGTAAAAAATATCAAGAATTTCCAGCTATTGTGTAGACAAGTTATTCTTGCCTCAACAGGACCAACGATACAAAAATAACACCAGATACTGCAGAAACCTGCCGAAAAATTGTGAAGTACCTGTCAGAAACGAATGCAAATTTCCATACGTACCAGCTGAAACAGGTGAGATCGCTGCGAGTGTTGGTAAAAAATTTGCACTCCTCAATCCCAAATTGAAGTGATAAAAGAAGAACTAGCGACGCTTCGTTTCAAAGTACGTCAGATAACCAACGTTCTGAAGGAGAATAAGGAGCAGCCTGGAGTAAAAAATAAAGTTCCTATACCTTTATTTTTCGAGGATCTAGAGCCATCCCCTGGTATTGAGAAAATATATGTAAGGTTACTTGAGCAACCTTTAAACACTTCAACTGTTACTTATCTTTAAATCAGATGTTAATGATTATTTATTAGAAAATACCTTCTTGTATTGTTATATTGGATAAGTGTTATAATTAACTTGTGTTGTAATAACGTGTAATTAAATTCTTTTACTTTAATTGAATAAATCACGTCTATAAAAGATCTTAGATATATGATATCAAAAGATTGTACCACTATCGTGAAGATAGAGAAGCCATACCCTAAGAAGAAAATCGTGCAGTGCCACAATTGCCAGGCGTGTGCCACACGATAACTTATTGTCACCATCTGCTGCGTTGTGTGAAATGCAGTGAACAGCACAAATCTGTGGAGTGCGCCAAACTGATACAAGATCCTGCAGTGTGTGCACTATGCCTGGAGGGACACCCGGCCAACTACAAAGGCTGCCAAACCTATAAGAGCCACAAATCCAGATACCAGAAGAACTGGATTCAAGATGAGTCAACCAAACCAAGAAGAGAACCTTCTAGAATTGTTAATAATAATTTATCAAACTCCGGACTACATGGAGGCAAGAACCCATATAATACATGTGAAGGCCTGCCGCAGCAACTACCTCTGCCGTAATCTCAATATTCTGTTCATCCTAACACACATAACAATCAACAACTTCAAATTCCTCATATTCCTTCTCCTTCAAATGCAACAGATCTCACCAGTTTGTTAGCATCTTTTCTCACCGATTTCAAATCCCTAGTTACTCCACTCATATCACTCCTCAAAAATCCTGTATCTCACCTCATCCCTTCTTTAAAAAATCCTTAATGACTCACATCCCATAATCCATATCCATTCTCCTTTGGAATGCGAATGGTGTTAGAAATCACGTTGACGAACAAACAGCTTTACTACAAGACAAAAACATTGACGTAGCCTTAATTACAGAAACTCGACTGACCATAAAACAGCATTTAAAAAACCCACAGTCCATACCGTACTGACCATCCTGACGGCAGAGCACATCCCGGTACTGCTGTCATCATACACTAATCCCTCTCTCATCACTTACTCCCATTACCTACACATGATTTCCTACAATCAACCGCTATCGTAATCAAAACCTCCTTTCCGGTCATCCTCGCATCAGCATATTGTACTCCTAACCGATCCATATCCAATGTGCAGTTCAGTTATTTCCTTAACTCCTTTTGTCATCACTTTATCCTGGGTGCAGACTTAAATACCGAGCATCAAGAACCACGAATTCTCGTGGCAGAACATTGCTGTCTGCACTCAATTCCCAACGTTTCAGCCTCTTTCAACCCAACTCGCCTACTGATCCAAACCGCAATCCTGACATACATGATTTTTCATCCACAGTGATTTAGGTCCCCTCAATCACTACCTTACCCATCTTGACGAACTTTCCTCAGAACATAGTCCATTAATACTTCAATTGTCAATAGCTCCTATTCCAAAATCTCCTCCACCGTCCTTCATTAGAGGCCCAGTTAACTGAAAACTCTTTCATCAAACACTTTCCGATAAAATTGATCTCATATCAATATCCCTGGAAACCCCAGAAGACCTTGATAATGTCTAACATTCCTCTACCACCACTACTCAGTGAACAATCTGGACTGTTTCCTCCCCAAATCTCTCCTAAAAATCTTCTAAGAAAACGTATTAGGCATTCTGCCGAGCGTCAATCATATAATTATTTCTATAAAAAATTAAAACAGTAAATAAGCAGTAAAAAAATTAAATATTCCTGATAAGGAGGCCCCACTTCAGCCTCTAACCGAGGGCCCCAAATGGAGCTAGACCGAGCCTGGTTAGATATGCTTTAGGAGGTGTAAAAAAGATATATCTAATCTCCTTAGTGAACCTGTTATAGTTAGGCATCTCAGTTTCGAAAGATTGAATTAAGATAGCTTAGTAGCTTTCATATCAGAATATAAAATCCTCAGAAAGATAATGAGTAGGGTCAATAGTATCAGAAATAGAAAAAGACCATATCTTAGATGCATGGACAAAGTAACAAAAGATGCGTGGTAGATCTTGAGGTTCGTGGATTGGATAGCTGTTGTTAAATAACATAGAGACTGCGAAAAGTTATTAAAGTAAGCCAGGGAGGACTAATGATGGTCTGTGGAGCTACTAGAAGAAGAAGTATACTATGACAGTAATGCTTATCTACGATAATTAAATATTTATACCTTTACAGTTTTGGATTTCCCTCACTGTTTGTCCAAGAAATAATTTGTTTTTTTTTGGAACTAGTAGCTTTATGTCAGATGGGCGATACTCCAGTTGAGAAGAAAGTTTACTTTGCTTATTAAACTGTGCAGTTCTTTTAAGAAGTCTGATATCTAGCATACCGCCTGTAATAGCAATATATTAATGATTTAGAATTTTTTTTTAAATAATTAAAGAATGAAACTTACTGGAGGAAATAGAAATTAAAGCATGATCTTCTTGTCCATATCTTCCAAAAATCATTGATGAGATAGGATCAGTGGTTGTAATAGTGTGAACTAAATTTGCTCCATTGTAAAATAGTATACTACCATCGCTAAGAGAAACAGCAACTAAATCAAGAGCTAGACCAGCTATTGGTATCCCTGTCATACTCAGCGGGTCAGCTGGTAAAGATATTGTCCAATACTTTTGTCCCTTTAATTTCATTATTATATTTTATATTTTTATAATAAATAAATATTGAAAAGAAAAACAAAATATTAATGTTAATATTTTTAAAACTTTCACATCTTTTCTAACCAGCAGTTGATTGCTATATACGTTGCTATATTTATTACAGCAATAGATTACTGAACTATTAACACAATGAATAACTTATATAAATAAATACATACACATACACTCATAAACAGTGGATCAAAAAAGTATTGGCACACCTAATTTTTTTTTTGTTTCATTGTGAAAAAATCCAAAATTGATTAGTTAAACATTTTTATTTAATAAAAGAGTTTAAAAAAGTACATAATTGGAAAATAAATTAAATTTATTACATAAAAAAAAAATCAGTACACGAAAAATCACTTCAACACGGTCAAAAAAATGTTGGCAAAATTTAATTTGAGGGTTATTTCGCGAATTAGATATGTATTAATATTTTATCATTATAACATTGGCATCTATGACACCGTGGAATCATCTTGGCATGGTCAAAGAAAGATTTTGGGTTAGGTCTCGTCCAAATTTATACTCCTTCTCTGACAAAATTTCTTTTAAATAATTTTTGAAGAAATTTTATTTTTTCTTACTTTAAAATCCATTTCTATTGGCTAGGACCAATGCGTAGCATGCATTTTTTTGTTTTATTTTCTGTATGCCTGGCTTCATTGTCCTGTCGGAAGATAAATGCATCTCTGTTACTCATATTTTCGGCTCTACTTGTTAAACTATGTCGCAAAATGTCGACATATTGGTTGGCATTCATACTATTGTCAATAAAGGTTAAGTTTCCAACGCCATTCCATGACATGGCCCCTCAAACTTGGACACTTCCACAGTGAGCCTTAAATGTCGAGCTTAAAACTCAGCGTCAAGTTTCCGCCAAACGTACTTGTCATCATCGGAATGATATATGTTAAACTTACTTTCATATGAATAAATAACACTTTTCCAGAATTCGATCTCTCTATTAACTTGAGTTCTGGTCAACTCAGGTCATTTTTTGTAGTTCCAACCTTCCATAATAATTAATAATATAACCTTCGTATATATGAATTATATTTCTAACAGAATGTGGTATTTGAAGTAGATGCGACCTCTTCTGATATTTCGGCGGCTGATAAAGTGCGATTTTGCTCAACAATATATAAATGATGGTTAAACCTTTTTGCCCTCCCATTTAATTTGGGTGGCCATTCTGAACGGGGTTTATTTATAACTTTCTAAACTTTTGTGCAATATTCTGAACATTACTAAAACCAATCTCTAATTTATTAGGTATTTGTCTGTAGCTAAGGCTAAGTCCATCAGAATGTAATTTAATGATGTTTTTTTTTTTTTTAAACTGACACAATATTGACTGGTTTACCCATGTTGTTATGGCCAATATATAGCAAAGACTGAATAGTAAACATTTAAAACTGCGGCAATACTTTTTTGACCCGCAAAATTTACTCTTTAATTTTACTTTGAACATAACTTTTGAATTCTGAGCATGCATTGCTTCTAAAATATAATACTCAAAGACCACTTTGTTATATAAATATTATTTCTGAAAAATATCTTTATCCTATTGAGATTTGCATAAAAATTGGTGTGTGGCAATACTTTTCTGACCCACTGTATATATATATTATGTATGGTTACAAAAAACATAGATGATGATGACTTTATGAATAAGACAATGTACTATTGTTTTAATAACTGATCTTAATAAAACTTTCAATTTAAGCCTATTATAAATCTAAATCTTACTGAACAATATAATAAGAATTTTTATTAATATATTTGAGATGGGGATAGAATATTAATATTAACTCTGAAGAAAAAAACCAACAATAATAAAAACTCTATACTTGTAAGTTGAAGCAGTTCAAAGTGTTATCCATATTGGCAGTGATTATCTTTGGATGAACTAATATTAGAGAGACTGGAAGAGAACACAATTGAGTTATGAAATGAATATTCCCTCCACTTAGGTAGTATAAACTTCCATTTCGACAGGCCATCAAAATAGTGAATTCAACAAAATATATTCCTGTGGCAGCAAGACAGCTACAAATATCTGGTACCTAAAATTTAAAGACACAAGAATTAGATAAACCTATTGCTATGTTCCTGGCCTCGCGTTTCTACGGCGAGTAGGGGGTTCCAGGAACCGCATTTATTTGTATTTAATACTTATATATTTGTATTTATATCGGTCCCAGAAGGGAACCGATCAACTTAAAAATATATTAATTATGTATTGAAAGGTAAGATACCACAGACCCCCTACTGTAGTATCCTAGATTGAACCATATAATTTTTATTGGATTTCTTTTCTAGAGGTATCGTGTTTTTAAATTTACTGTTTGTTTCTATTACTAGTTGGTGGCATGCAGGGTAGAATGTAAAATTAACAAGATAGTTTACTAAATATTATATTTATCAACTTCAACAACCAACAAAATCTATATACAAAATAATAACTAAACCTATATACATAATGAATAGTTGAGAATCATACTGTAGGAGAATGCTTGATGTTTGATTAAAGTTACATGTACTCTATTGATTCTATTAATTAACAATTTATGGTTGCCAACACAAGTTTACATCATTATTACTAAATGAGGGTTAATACCTAGCTGGTTCTTCATCATCTTCGAGTCTCGTTCTATGTCGCTCTCCTTCAGCGTCTAGTCCATCCATCTGCTCCCTCCGGCTGTGTCCTAGCCTGAGTCCCAGCTACAAGTCCATATCTTGCTCTCTCCGCCTCTCCTGATCAAGTGTCCTCCTCAAAACTCTAACCGTCCTAGCTTCCAGTCACCCCCCTCTCTTTTTGTACTTTTTCCTGATTGGCTGAATATTCCTAGCCTAAGGGATGACCACGCCCTCTCCCCCAGGCCAAGGTATTCCACTAACCAAGTATATTTTAAGTATTTCTGGTGGAAGGTGTGAAAGGTCTTTCTGGATCCTGTTTAAACACTCAGGCGTGAGGCTGTTGTCGGTCTTGGTCGGTGGTTCTTAAGGGTTTTTATTACCACTTACAAAAGGTTGGGCTCATGGGTCGTTACCCTAGCTCAGGTACCGCCAGATGTGAGCGCTTATGATATTTATTTATTTAGACCTTTAAAATAATTAAATGAGTTCCACCGGCGGTCTTTAGAATACATAGCACTATATGTTTTTTTTTATTTGTTGAGACATCAATACATCTTGAACATATAAAAATGGATACTACATTCCTTCTATTCCTCTGTTTAACATGTAAAAACTATTGATATTACTACAAAAATCAATATTTCTCTATTTATACAGGCAAATATTTTTAAAAAATTGAGAGGAAAGATTTTAGTTAGAAAGAGTGAAAATTATTTCCAAAACATCCATAATTTTTCAATATTTTTTTTAAACCTATTAATTCCCTAAAGCTAAAGATAGCAAAATATAATACGATGATAACAATTTATCATGATTACATAATTATAATTATGGATTATTTTTAAGCTGTATACTAAGAAGAAAAATATTTAAATTGAATGATTGATTGGAGTTGCTATACATATGCGTGGACAGATAGGAAATAAAATAATTATAATTCTTTCCTACGTATTTTTTTTTTAATTTAAACGCCTAATTATAACTTCAATACCATCCTTAACAATATTTTAAAAAATATTTCCCTAACAATTAAAACAGAAAACCAATTAAAGTAGAAAATAAGAATTTAAATGCAGCAAAAGTTTTCGAACGTAGCTTATTATACAGTAATCATCTATTTATTTTACTGAAACTTTTAAATTAATATTTTGTCCTTTGTTTTCGAGCACCATTTAGACATTGATTAGATCAACTTTTATGACATTTGGGAGTGTATTTTCCACAATTTTCCAATCAATTTAGTTATAAGATATTTTACTGACGATATATTTTGATTTTCGAACAGTCAATCGACACCATAAGCCCACAAATGTTTGATAGGATTCATATCTGGACTTTGGAGAGGAATTTCATGGTTATATTGATTATTGTATAGCAGCCATTCTCGTGAGAGGAGAGCTTGGGTTTAAGGATAACTAACCTGCTAAAATTTAAATGTCTGTTTTATACCCATTTTTGTCGCACCAGCGGATTTGTGATTTTTTTTTTATTGCGACTCAAACTACACAACAGATATCCCACTTTTAGAAAAACTTTCTTGTTTAATAAGCTTTAAGTCCATATTAATCAAGTTGAGATTTATTAACAAATAAGTTGAGGTGTGTAAAAAATGTAGTGATTTGATATCCTGCCACCTAAACGTACCCGTGCTTTAATTAAAATTTAATAAAATATATTATTTTAAAGCTTTAATTTAGTTTTTTCATCAAGGGATATTACTATTTATATATATATATATATATATATATATATATATATATATATATATATATATACACTTTTTATAATGATATTTCGAATATTTATAATCTTAGTCATAATTAAACTGTTTTTGAATGGAGGCTTGATGTCACAGAAATCCAAATTAAATAAAAAAGATGTGGGAATCTGGGGAACTAAGCGATAGTAAAAAAAGATATATAGTCAATCATATTACAAATTTTATCAGCTTTAATTTTGTATAGGACGTCTTTGTCGATTCTATGGATAGTTTTCCTGATATAAGCGAAAACCCCAAAAAGGTGATCTACAAGGTCCCCCTTCACCCACTACTGGCTCACCACTCTAGGAGTGGGAACTTTTAGTAAGTTTATCTCTTTACTAGTGCAAAAAATGTCCTAAAGTCAAACATTGTGTCGCCGCCATTTCCTCCTTTTTGAGTTCTCTTCCAGCCTTCGAAGGGTGCACATCGCGGTTTGCGGCTTTGATCTGTGATTACAATAGGCCCATTGTTCGATTTCCAAAAAAATAAGTTTATTTATTTTCGTACGGCCGGAAAGTGGCGACCAGATTATTAACTTTTATTTCGTTTAATTATTGTTATAGTTACAGATTCTGAGAAAAAACTGGAAATTGTAAAAAACTAATTTATCGCTAGCTACCAGTTAAGGAAATAATGAGTAGCGAAATGACAAGAACGTGCGAATCTGAACCTCCTGCATCTTTAAAAACTTTAATTCAATCAGCAAACGATAGACGAAAAAAATATCAAGAAATGTCTTTTCTAGAGGACAATAAATCATTACAGGAGTGTAGTCCCTTCTAGATGAGTAGAGTTTTAAAAATCTACGCAACGCAGTCCAATATTAAATTCACTAAAAATGGAAAAGTACTTTTAGAAGTAAACTCAGAAAAAGATTTCATTAACCTGGGTAATATCAAGAACTACGAAAATAATACAGTGAAAATCTCGCTATATAGATTTTCAAACTATACAAAAGGTGTGATCTACTCTCCAGAAATAAACGGCTGCTCGGAACTGGAACTGAAGGACGAACTACGGGGAGAGGGAGTAATCGAAGTTAGAAGAATATACCGGAAGGCAGGTGAGCAGAAAGTTCCTACGCCAACTTTGATCCTCACTTTTGAAAGGCCAGAATTTCCAGGTAATATTAAGCTAGTCTTTCTAAATATGAAAGTAAGGCCATACAGTCCTAGCTGTCTCCAATGTTTTAAATGTTTTGCTTTTAACCACACTTCCATGACCTGTCAAAAAAAATATTTTTGGTAAATGAAGTAATCCCAAACATGAAAATAATTGCAGCAGCGATATTAAATGTATCAACTGCTTATGGTCACATCCAGCGGGGTCTCGCTCCTGCCCATATGTTTTAAAAGAAAATCAGATTCAAACAGTAAATGTTACAGAACGAGTTCTGCATATAATAGCGAAAAAGAAGGTTTATGCGATAACCCATACAGTCTCGGACTCTTGGGAAACCAATTCCCGAGTATTAAATTCTACAAATTCTTCCCAAAATGCACAAATAGACAAATTAACAACAATTATAGATTCTCTGTTAATTTTTATTTTATTTTTTTCTTTATTGAGTATTATAACAACCTGTCTCTTGGACATTGGTTATAGTGAGGTAGGATGACATGCACACTATATGTACAAAAAATAAAATAAATAGAACAAAATAATAATCAAAAGTATATACAATAGATAATAAAATAAAATAACCTAAAAAATAAGAAAATTAAAACTAATAAAAAAAACACATGCATACCTATATACAATCAGGCGAGGGAACTCCAGGAGAACCCTGCGCTACTCTCCCAACCGCGTCACTGGTACTAAAGCCAGCGGAGATTGGTCGAGAGCACTTTAGCCACATACACTCATGTCTTGAGTGAAGAATCTGGCCATTGCCAGAACTCCAATTTATACAATCTACAAAAGGTCGTGAGGTCATTGCCGTTTCAACCTTCTTGGAGGGTTATAGGATGGGAGGTGCTTGATAGGGATTGTGCAAGAGAATTTGGGTGGTACGTAAGGTTCTGGTGAAATTTGGAGAATTTTTCTGGGATAAGGTCTAGGACAAATGGGATGTTGAGGTCATGATGTAGGGTTTTGTTGGTTACATAGAAAGGAGCATCGACTATTGTTCGAAGGACTTTTGAATGGAAGGATTGGATGCGCTTGATGTTAGAAAATTTTGCTGATCCCCACAGTTCTAGTACGTAAGTCCAAATAGGTTTCAGTATTGTCTTGTAGATCAGTAACTTGTTTTCAATGGAAAGTTTAGATTTTCTGCTTAGTAGTCGGTATAGTTGGCCGTATCCTCGGTTGAGTTCTTGTGTTTTGAGTCTAGTATGCGGGTTCCACGTTAGTCTTCGGTCTAAATAAAGCCAAGATACGGGACTGTGTCTGAGTAAGGAAGCTGGATGGAATTAAAGAGTACTGGTGGACAGGAATTGCGTCGGAGTGTAAAGGTAATATGTTGGCATTTAGATTCATTAACTTTAATGCGCCAGTTATTACACCAGTGCTCAATCAAGGTGAGGTGGCTTTGGAGATTTAAGGATGCTATTTCGGGATCAGAGTTGGATGATAAGATTGCGGTGTCGTTTGCGAATG